GAGAGGGAAATGGCAAACCACTCCAGTATTTTTGCCAAGAAAACTCCATGAACATCACTAAAATGATAAATGAGGTGACACTGGAAGATGAACCCTCAGGTCAGGTGTCCAATAAACTACTGGGGAAGAGTAGAGGACAACTACAAGTAACTCCAATTCTAATGAAGCATCTGGGCCAAAGGCTAAAGGAAGTTGAGCTGCAGCGGATGCATCTGCCAACAAAAGGAAAGTCAATGCTGCAAATATATAGATAGTGTCATAGTTTGTTGTTTCACAAACATGAACTTAGACTTCAAGAGACAGTGGAGGACAGAAGGGCCTGGTGTACTATGGTTTATGGGGTAACAGAGTCAGACACAACTGAACAACCAAAAAACCCTCAATAATACCTTCTAATTACTACCAAAACTTTATTTTTAAGTTCAATTTTCCTTTCAGCACTCAATTTCTCTCCCTCTTCCCCAATGAGGGGAAAAAAAACCACAACCTGTTACAAATATTATGGAGCAAAACCAATCTCCCCATTTGGACATGCCTCCTTACCTCCCCCCCCCCAAAAATCCTCATTCTGCAGTCTGAGACCATTACCTCTCTACCTGGAAGTAGGTAATGTTTCATCATGAGTCCCCTGGAATTGTGACTAGTCATTGTGTTGATCAGAGTTCCTAAGCCTTCCAAAGGTATCTCTTACAACATTATTGTTACTGTATTAAGTGTTCCGCTCAATTCACTTTACAACAATTCATAAAAGTTTTCCTTGGTTTCTCAAGAAACCACCCCCGTCATCATTTCTTCCAGCACAATGGTATTCTATCACATCATATACTACAACTTCTTTGGCTGTTCCCAACTGATGGGCACCCCCTCAATTTCCAATTCTTTGCCACCTACAAGTATTTTTGTACATACGATCCTTTTCTTCTTTCTTTAATCTCTTTGAAGGTACAGACCTAGTAGTAATATTGCTAGGTGAAAGGGTGTGTGTAGCTTAATAGCTTTTTGGTACAACTAAATTTTCCTAAGGAACTCTAATAAGCAAACAATTATTTTGACTGACCAAATACCTAATGTTTGGTGCTAAATCACGGAAGAAGTAAATGTAGTAACAAAATACCTCCTTTCTCAGCTAGATTTGGAAGGGAAAGGATTTCCATAATTGGTCAAAGAAGGGCCTTATTGTATAAAAGTGGTCATTTCAACCCAAAGAAATAAATTAATGGATTCCAATAACCTTCCAAATCTAAGATGAGCCCAAGAAAGATAAATGTTATAAAAGTCAAATTCATCCATTATCTAAAATACAGGATCTTCACTTAAAAAGCACTCTTACAAGCACCCCCCTCCCCACCAGGCTGGCTCTTTCAGTCATCATCCAGGGGAGCAACACCTGTGGAGAAGAGGCTTTTCATTTTTGTCATTATCAACACCAACTATCAACCATCTTCTACTGTCAGAGCAGGTAAACCAGCCTAGCCAAAGCAACAATTGACAAGCAAGTCAAGCCACTTCTAACCACCTCAACCACTCTAACTACCACTTCTCATATTTAGGCAGCATGGTTACAACATGTAAGGTCCAGCAGTTCCCTGACAAATTCTTTCTTCTCACCTACAACATATGGAGGTTTTACCTAAAAGATAAAGCTGACTTCAGGACCTGACTGGCCTATGTGATTCATCCCTTCTGTTGACCACAGCTTCCTTTTCCCTTCCTTTCAAAGGCAGCTACCAGGATAGAGCATTGGGACTGGAATCAAGAAGTCCTAGGTTCAAATCCAGTCTCAGACACTTACTAGCTATGTGACTGGGCAAGTCACTTAACCTCAGTTTCCTCAACTGTAAAATGGGGATAAATAGCACCTACTTTGCATGGTGTTAGGGATCAAATGAGGTAATATTTGTAAAGTGCTTAACACAGAGACTGGAACAAGGTAGGCACTTAATAAATGCTTAATATCTTCCTTCCTCCTCTTCCTAACCTCCCTCCAGTCAACATGGAGTGGGGGGAGTCCACAAGAAGCTAAGTGCCACTGTATTCTTGCTGAATATTCTTATTGTGTGGGGGCAAAGCAAACGGCTTATTTCCTATAATAGATCATATATGAAGAGCAAGAACTAGGTCTTATATACCCCGTATATCCCTATGACACCCTCCTTTGGCTTGGCTAGGATCCAACAACAAACAGGTCAATATGCTGTTTCAGCTGTTCTGAGTGAAGGACATATGCTTCCTACCATCACTACTGTTTATTTTGAAGTGTTCACATTAACATACAGCAAATAATCCAGGAATTTATGAGCCTGGAAAACATTTTCATTGACTACTACTACCCTCCCTTTTTCCTTGGCTCTCTACCAATTCTTCCCATATATTTATGATTATGATATGCGGTGGTACAATGGAAAAAGGACTGTTGCAGGGCTAGATTGTTTCTGTGATCCCAGGCAACTTTCTCAGGCTAAAAAACTGAAGGTGTATACCTCCATTTGTGGAGAGTTTCCACACAAGGAGTTTCCCACCAAATAGGAATAATATTTGTACTAGCCACCTCAGTGACCTATTGTAAGGAAAATCTATTATAAACTGTACTGCAATGAGTTATATACACCATTCCGTATATTAGGCCCTCAATAAATATTTGATTACTAATGGGTGAATAAAGAACCACCAGCATTATTTAGTAGTAACAAAATGTTAACTTCAAAATGCCTAAGAAATATGTTTTAGCAGCCTATGTAAGCATACTCAAATAACATGTAAAAATACTGCTTTGAGAAACTTTATGCAAATGTGCTTTTAGTTTCCCTAATTATATCATTACTACTGGATAAGAGCCTTAGAAAAACCCTAACAGAGACCACTGATACTCAAGCAAAAATCTTGTATTGGTTGGAATGCTGTTACTTGAAATTCAAATTAATTCCATTTATGTACAAATACATTTCTAAACATTATACCTGGGGATGTTCTCATATAGAGTCAAAAAGACCTGAGCCTTAAGGTAGACAGAAATCTCTTTACCATCAGTACTGACAGTTACGATAAGGATAAGTCATTCATCTCAATGCCTATGCAGTAGAATATTGTGTTCCATTCTTTCTTTAAATTCAAGGAGGAATTCACTGGAGCATGTATGAGTATGTATGGTGGGAGGAGTGGTGAAAGTGAGCAGCAAAGAGTTGTGCCCTGGGACCAGACCATTTTATATGGGCAAGACAACCTTACTGCAATGACAAATCTGGGTCCAGAAGAATGGATGATTAACACTTTCTTCTGTTCTCAGCAAAGATATTTCAGGCAGAATGTTGATCTCATTGCTTAACTTTTTTTGGGGGGGGTAAGGGGCTGGGTCTGGAGGAATATTGGTAAAATGAGTAAGGTGTAAAAAAAATTATGAAACTTTTAAAAATGGGTTCAAGTCCAGCTTTAGACACTGATTTCCTGACTCAGAGCAAGTCACTTTATCTCAGGCAACTCTCTAGGGATATAAACTGAAAAGTGCAATACATAAAGGGAGTGAGATTCCTGGGGCAATGGGAAGGTTCCCTAAGTTAATGAAATTGGGGGGGGGGGAAGATCCTTTTACCTACATCATCTTATTTGAGCCAACCTTGTAGAGTAGGTTCTACAAGTATTACTATTTACATACCCCTATTTTATCTATACTTTATATACTTATGTAAACATTCCAATTTATTGTGACGTATATATACACACACCAATTTACTGAGACATATTTACATACCCTAATTTGTTTGGATATATACTTATATATATATACACACACACCAACTCATACATCCCAGTTTTACAGAAGAGGACACTGCACCTCGGATTACTTTGTGACCTTGGACAAGGCGCCTTGCCTTTTGGGAACTCGGTTGCCTTTTTTGTAAAATGATGGGGTGCGGACTAGATGGCCCCTCTGGTTCCTCCCAGCTCTAAAGCTATACGATCTTAGGACCTGTGCTCATAGTTCCACAGGTAATAAACGTCAGAGGCTAGTTTCAAGGTCAGGTCTTTCCTGACTCCCAAGTCCAGTGGGTTTCCAAAATACCACGCATGCCTTAAACTTTAAATCTTAAAGTTTTTCAATGCTTTTCCAGCTGTACTATTTAACTTTTCGTTTACTTTTTTAAAGGCGTTGGACGGCCTGCTCTCCCAGATTCCTCCCACCTGTGGACTGACGGCTCGTTCTAGGATTGGCTTGAGATGCCATTGAAACAAAAAGCAGCACCAGGCCAGCATTTAGCGGCCGCTTTCAGACTTGCCGGGTCCGGTGAGTCACGGTGCACAGCCGCGCGCTCCCCAGTCCGGCCAGACCAAGAGTGGAGGGGCATCCCAGGCAGCCCAGGAGAGGCTACGTTCCCAGGCCTTGGCTTCACAGTTACCAACTTTGGCTCCACGTCCTCACACGGACTGTGACGGGGATTCTGTCGCCGGCTAACCCGGGGAGCGGGCGGCTCTGCCACCCGGGAAAGTGCCTTGGTCCCTTCTCTCCCTCCAAGCCCCATAAATAAGGCGGGCCGGTGCTTCAGACAGGCCGTCCCCCGCCCTCTCAGAGCCGGCCTCAGGGGGAGACGGCCCTGGAGAAGAGGGGCCCTCCGGGATGAGGAGGTCCCGGGAAGCCGAGGCGGCCTTGGAGCCTCAGGGCCCAGGCCCCCGAGCCTCGGCGACCGCTACAGGATAGGCAGGGGGATCGGGGCACGCTTACCACGCCGGCAGGGGCGAGCGAGGCCGTGGGAGGAAAGGAATCACGTCCGTTACCGGGGCCGCCGCCGCCACCTCGCTCGGACCGGTTCACCTCACGCGCGCACGCACCACCCAACCGGAAGTGGACGCACGCACCGCCCCCGTCCGCGCTGCCGGCTCCATCCGGACCAATCCTCGGAGGTCCCGCCTCCGACGCCCGGCCTCCTCGGGCGGCCATTGGTCCGACGGGCACGTAGCCCCTATTGGCTGGAAAGCGCCACGTCCCCACGAGCGCGCGGAGTGGCGTGGACCTGATTCCCGCCCAAGCCTCTTCCCTGGAGCCGGGTCTTCCTCGCTGGCTCGCTGTCGCTCCTCAGTTCACTCCCTGCACGAGCCGGGGACTGGGGTCTTTGCGTGGACGTCCTCATGGGGGATGCGCTCTAATCGATTATGAACCTGATCAGCAACAAGTAGCTATTGATACTTCTTTGCGGTCCTTGGCCTCCAGGTCCTCTGGTGCCCTCCCCCCTCATTTTATTATTGTTCAGTTGGACAGTTTTCTGTCAAACGTGCCCGACTCTTCGTGATCCCTTTTTGGGGTTTTCTTGGCTAAGACCCTGGAATACTTCGTCATTTCATTCTCTAGCCCATTTTACAGATAAGGACACTGAGGCAAAACAAGGATTAAATGACTTGCCCAGGGTCACACAGCTACCAAGTGTCTGAGTCTGGATTTGAACACAGGTCAGCGCTCTGTATCCACTGTGCCACCTAATTACCTCATGCCCTCTTATTTTACAGATGATAAAAGTGAGGCTTAGGGTGGTATAGTAATCAAACTCCGGTCACACAGTAAGGGGCAGTGACTGAATTTGAACCCAGGTCCTCCCACCCCAGATTTAGTGTCCTTGTTATGCTTGGAACTCACCTCATTGCATATCCAAGGCCTGAGAGATGGATGAAGCATATTCATTTTAATTTATTCCAGTAAGTTCAGGAAGTGTTTATTGAATTTTGAAAGTATTCAATTCAGTCCAACAAGTATTTATTGAATACTTGGCCCAGCACAAAATGACATTGCAAATCCATGACATGAGATGTGCATGAAAATAGATTCATTTTAATTTGGTTCCATTAAGTTAAAAAAGTGTTTTTTGAATACTTTTTTAAAGTATTCAAATAATTCAATTCAACAAGTATTTATTGAATAGTTGGCCAGCACAATATTATCATGTTGCATATCTGTGACCTAAGAATCACATGAAGCATATTAATTTTAATTTGGTTCCACTAAGTTCAGGGAGTGTTTATGGAATACTTGGCCCAGCAAAAAAAGGAGAGAAGGGGGGAAAGCTAACAATTAGTAAATGCATTCACCTCTTTCTATTGCTTCAGGTTTTTGTATGCAGGCTGGATAAGCCTCACCCCCTCTCTACCCCAGCCCCAGGAATGTTGTGAAGGACATTCTTCTTCAGGTACAGGTTGGAATAGATGACTTCTAAGCCCCTTAAAATTTTGAGATTATAAGATTCTAGAAAATAAATGCATATTGACTGACCGGTGTATGTTCAGGTTCTTACCCCACAGGAGTTTACAATTAGTTGTGAGAAGGTATGTGAAGTCCTCTGCTGACACGTCATTTGAGGCTGTGGGAATGAAGCTGACTGGATTCTAAAGGCTATGTCAGCAGAGTGCAAGTTTTGGAAGTTTTCCTCAGCCCTGGAAACAGTAGACCAGGCTAGCTAAGTTAAGAGCTCATCAATGCAAGGTTATCCCTCAGATTATGATTTTTTTCTTTTTTTGGCCATATGAACTCATGTCAGTCAAGGGGGAAGCTTATGAGAATTCTATACTGACAGTCTTGATTGAGTAGAAGTGGGACAGAAGCAAAAGAAATAGCTGGATCTAAGTTTAGCTCCTGTTGCCCTTTACTGAATACAAGGAGCATGTACTCAGTTTGATTTTTAAAACTTTGTAACTTTCCTTTGTTGTTTGTTAAACCCCTGGGTTAATAGCAATAAAAAAAAAAACCACCCAACAGAGGTATAATGCACATATTTACACTTTTTTTCCCTAGACTCCAAGGTGGGAGCAAAGTAGGAAACTTGGCATTGTACTTTTTCCCTTTTATATTGTGCCCCATGTCTCTTCCTGTACTAGCAATAAATACTCATAGAAAACCTAAGAAAGGTTTGGTCAGTTATTATCAGGAGAGGCTTGGAAGCATGGTTTCCCTTCCAAATGAGACCTGATTGAGAAGAGCTCCAGATGGAGAAAGGAGGAACAAATAAAAACTGAGAGAAAACAGACAGACCACACCCCAGGGCTTGAATATGTATTTTTTTTTAAGTTGGGAGTCCACAACATATTTTAAAAGTGCTTCCAGATGTTCAGTCCTGACAAGACTGTCCTCTATTCCTCTCCAGGCCCCCAGCTCCCGTGATTAAATGCAAAGATGAGTGATTCAGACAGCAAATCCAGGAATTCAGAAAAAGAAAACTATAGTAACCTTGAATCATCAAAGATTTCATAAGAATGGAGGACTTGAATGGAACCTTGAAGAAATTTAATAAACAATTCATTTACATAGATATTTATCAAATTTCCACTGTAATAAGAACACTGTGCTGGCTCTAGGAAAGATACATTTTGGTTAAGGATGGGGGTTGCTTCCCTAAAGGAGCTTACAATCTGTTAAGTATGTATGTGTCTAACAAATACACAAATTAAACAATATTTGTATAGGAGAGATGTGTAAGCAAATTAGTATGTGAAGTCCATGGTAGGAATTTTCAACTGGGAGAACCAGGGTAGTCTCCCTGAAGAAGTTGGCATTGAGTTGATCTTTAAAGGATTGTAGGAGTTTAGGGGTAGGGAACCATTTTAAGAATAGGGAATAGCACGATGAAGAGCATGGAGTTTCAAGTTAGAATGCTTTATTTTTTTTCCTTTAAAAACATTATATGATAAAAAATATTAACTGTTATGTGGAATGGCTCTCTAGGAAAGGGAAGGGAGAGAGATACTGGGAGAAATTTTAGGGATGTAAAAACAAAAGATAGCAACAGAAATCTATTTTTAAAAAAAAAGGATAGGGTGTTTATAGGGGATTGGGCAAATAGTCCAGGTATATTGGAGCATGGAATATGTGGAGGGGAATAGCATGAAATAAAAGTTGGAAAGGGAGGACAGTACCAAAATGTCGAGGACCTTATATTTAGGAGGCAAAAAAGTCAGAATATGACTCAGTATGCAGTATTTCCTACATCCACCTTGGACCAGTAGAACCTGTTTGTAGCAACTCCAGATTTTTTTCTTGGCCCAAGTGTGCAAAATCGTTAGGGCATGCTTTCATAGCTGTGAATTGGGGGCCTTCTATAGCACCAACTACTTTCTCAGTCCTTATGTAGATTCAGTGATAGCCCAACGTTCCAACTTGTATCATTGCCTCAAAAACTGAGTACCCTCTGGGGAGCTGAGCTTGCACTCCCAAATACATGCCCCTTTTCTTGTCCTATATCACTTCTTGAAGACAGTCATCTCACAGCTGTGCTCATCACCACTCATCCAGGGCACCTGGGCTGAGGGTTGACTGGAAGAGTTCAGTGCTACTATTTGTTTGCATTGATGGAATGTAGTGCCCCAGAATGAGTGTTGGGTTAAAAGTCAGAAGCTAGTTTAAACCTTAGCTCTGTCACTTATCTTTCCAATGCCTCATTTTTTTAAAAGTGTGGAGGTTCTTTTATGGCCCTTTCAGCTCTAAGTCTGTGATAGATCCTATGACTATAGGCTTTCTAGCAGAGTGTCTTCAATCAATCAACAAGCATTTTTTAAAGCACCTTTGTGTGCTGGACATTATGCTAGGTGTTAGGGATACAAATAAAACAAAACAATTTCAACTCACAAGGAGTCTACATTCTGATGGAGAAAACAAGGAAATATAGAAGTATAAATAATTAGAAAGTAGGTGGAGGAGGAGGGTTCTAGTAGTATAGGGGAACAAAACAGATTTCTCTAACAAAGTGGTGCTTGTGCTGCTTTTGAATGAAAGAAAGGGATTCTTTAAGGTGGAGGTGAGGAGGCATGCATCCTAAGTTTGAGGAACAGCCAGTACAAAGACACAGGGGCCGAAGTAGGACTGTACTATGTGGGGAGCAGAGGAGGCCAGTTTGGCCATATTGCAGAGTGAGGGAGGGGGAGCAATATGCAATAAGGGTTGGGCCACTTGCAAAGCTAAAGAGAAGAGTTTATATTTGATTCTAGAAGTGATAGGAAGCCGCTGGAGTTGACTGGGTGGGGCGGTGGCATGATTGTATCTGTGCTTAAGAAAACTCACGTTGGCAGCCTTGTAGAGGGAGGACTGAAGTGGGGAGAGACTTGAGGCAGAGAGAGAAAGAGGAGGCCATTCAAATAATCTAAGTGAGAGGCAATGAAAGCCTGAACTGAGGTGGAGAGGAAGGGATTGGATTGGAGGAGGGATGTTGTGATGTTGTGGAGGTAGAAACAAGATTTGGAAACTGTGATTGGCTATATGGAGGGAGAGTAAGGAGATCAGGAAAATGCCAAGGTTACAAACCTGGAAGGCTAAAAACATGGTGGTTCCTTCCACAGAAGAATTTTGGCAATTTCCCTTTCTCTTTTATTTCTCTATTCCCCCTTCCCTCTTTACCTCTTCTCCAGGTTTTTCTCTTAGTCTCTCCTATTCTCTGGCTATGTTTCTCTGTTTATCCCCCACCTGCTTTTGTTTTAAATCCCCATTTGTTTCTAGGCTTTTTCTTTCTTTTTTCCAATGGGGAAGGAGGTACCTGGGAAGATGGAGTAAAGTACAGAATAACAAAAAAAGAAAAGAAAGAGGGTCATCGAGGCATCTTTTAAAAAAATGTAGAGAAGAAAACAGAGGGAAGGTCAGAAGGAACCATAGACAAGCAGGACAGCTTTGAAAGCTACAGTTTAAATTTATCATATACTTAAAAAGAAAAGCAAGTTGTACATGATGATAGAGGTCTTGATAGGTATTTAAAGAGAATTACTCAGTAATTGTTATGGCAATTGAAATTAAATAATTTAAATGTAATTACAAAATAAGTTTTGTTGGCTTCCCCTCCCTTCCCCATTTTCCTAGCCTTTCTTTTATCTCCTCTTCTTTCCCCCAGTCTTTAGACCTCTATCTTCCTGTCAACTCTAACTAGGGAAACAATGAAAACAAGTGAGAATTCCTGGGGGCCCCAAAGACAAACTTCATTTACAGGATAACCACCTAATTCTGACCTCCATCTCTTAGCCTTATAGCCAAGACTCTGGAAGTTGACTGTAACTGGTGTAAAGCCCCGATGTCCTGGATTTCTGTGGGTGCGTTTTCCCCTAAAGTCATACCTGTTTCAATCAGTGCGGCTAGAAAGAGTGTGGAAATTATGCTTAATATAAATCAGGGGAGAGCACTGGATGGTCAGGACGTGTCACCTGCTCAGTGCTCAGAGGTGTGGTCCCAAGCAAGTTGAGGTAAGGGCAGGGAACGACTATGCAGGTGGAACAGTTTCTGCATCCTGGAGGGGTGCTGCCAAGTAGCTTCTCTAAGAGGAAAGGTTATGCTCACCATGAAGCCATGCTAGCTTTTCTTTATTTGCCACTTTTTCTCCATTATCCATATATAATCCCAGCAGAGAACAAAATACTAAAATTATATATTTGGAGTGGTCGGGTGAGGGGAAAAGGTTGAAGGAATTCTCCCCATTTGTGTCTAGAAGGGAGTTCAGATAGTTCCCTCTTACAAGTGAATGGTCCAGGATTTTCCCAGTTTACTGTCTTATTCATGTCAAACTTGTTTTATGTCTGATAGTGTTTCCATACAGATACCTTAACTGATCATTTCAAATTTTGAGCTGTTGCAGCTGAGTTGAACAACTTGATTCTCTTTTGGCTTTGGAACAATTCCCTGTCTCCTCCCCCATTTCCTGTGCTTTTCCTGAAACAATTGCTGTTAGTCCTGTAAGTTTATTAGCTCATTAAAGAGGCAAGGATCGGTAATAGAAAGATTATTGGACCTGGAGTCAGGCAGCCCTAACTCAGATCACTTGAGCTTTTTTAGTCCGTTTGCTCATCTGTCAAAAAAAGGGATAAAAATACCAGCAGTACCTGCTTCATGCGGCTATTGCAATGCTCACATAACACAATGCATAAAATAACATAAACCAAATATTTACACATCTGCCTTTTTTAGTTCCCTTGGTTTTCCCAAGATAGATAATCTGTGTTGATAGGAATATGATGCTGTCAGGAGGAGAGATTCTCATATTGGATGGGAGGTCAGAGCAGATGACCTTGAAGACCTCTCAGAGCTCTAGGATTTTATGAATTTCTTTCCACATGTTTAATTTTTCTGGGCTCAATTCAATTCAACAAACATTTATTAAGTGCCTACTATATGCAAGGTACTATGTTAGGCACTGGTAGGGATACATCAAAGACAAAAACAAAAAAGCCCCTGCCCTCAACGAGCTTACATTCTGCCAGGGTATGCAACATGTACATAGATATATAAATAATATATGCATAGTAATTTCAAGACAGGGAGGGAGGGAAGGAGGAAAGCAGAGAAGGGGAGAGGGGGAGAGCACGAGAGCATGTGAGCACTACTGGGGGGAATTGGGGACAGGCTTCTGTAGCACCTGAGTTGTATTTGAAGGAAGCTAAGGATTCTAGAAAGGTGGAGGTGACAGGGAGTGCATTCCAGATATGGCAAGCTCTATCAGCTTTGGCTTTCTTATCACCACACCTGTATTAAGAAGGCCTTTATGACTTCTTAATTGCCCAGATCACTTTTCCTTAGTTTTCTCACTAAAGACAGATTGTCAGAGTGGTTGTGTAGTTTGGCCACTTTAGTATCACTTGTCCAATTTCCATCATAATTTTTAAAGGGTCTACCTTGACATTCGTAGTTTTGTACTGCCTTGGGGCAGCTTTGAAATTCAACTTTTCTGCTGCTGTTGAGTTCATTTTCCCTGTTGTCATTTCCTTTTGAGCCTTGGTTGATTCCAGAGATGCATGTTTGGTCACTGCCTCTGCTGTCACCTGTCTTCTCTGCCCCTCTGGTTACCAGTTGCTGTTGTTGCTGACTGACAGCTGCAGGTTTCTGTTGCTACTAGCTGCTGCTGTTCCTAGACACCTTCAAATGAATCCCTTCAAGGCCATCAGCCACCTTTTCAGACAGCTCCAGACTGCCTTCTGTCGTTGACTACCTTATTGTTCTGCCAATCATCCCTTTTTTTTGCTGCTGTTGAATACATTCTGCTGCAAAATCCACTGTATGATCACGACTGCACCCCCTAATTTAGGACCAAAAAAGATAGTATAAAAAGTGTGCATATTATGGGAGTAAATAAAGCAATTTGAACAACTGGATTCTGTTCTGGAAACTGGAGTATGTAAATAAGAAAGGAAATAATCCTTTGAAGGGATATAAAACAGGGCTACTTATGATGATCTATTTTTGTCACAACTAAAAAACTCTACATCTAGTCTTTCTTACCATGGACACTTTATTATAATAGAGTGATGTAATGAAAAGACTTGAGTTTGAGTCTTGGCTCTGACTTTACTGGCTGGGTGAGTTGGACAAAGCACTTTAACCTCCCATTCAGACTCAACTTTCTTGTGTGTAAAACAAAAATGGATAATGCTTGCATTATCTACACTTCATAGGGTTGTTGTGAAGAAAGTGCTTTATAAACCTCAGTGTTCTAGATGAATATGAATTGTAGCAGGAGAATAAGCACCATCCCAGGACTGCACTATTGACCAGGGTTTAGAACAACCCAAGATTGATGCATCAGCAAGAAATATGATTCAGAAGTCTGAAAAGTGAGTATACATACCCTGTCTCTTTTATCCAATATTGAGGTGCTTGAAAAAAAAGCTATCCAGTTTTCAGATGAAAAAATTAAAGCTATCTGTAGTCATATGAAGAATGCTCTAAATCATTATTAATGAGAAATGCAAACTAAAACAACTCTGAAGTACCACATCACACCTGTCAGATTGGCTAATGTGACAAAATAGGAAAATGATGAATGTTGGAGAAGATGTGGGAAAATTGGAATAAGGCCTTCGTGGTGGAGATGTGAACTGATCCAACCATCCTGGAGAGCAATTTGGAACAATGACCAAAGGGCTATAAAACTGTGCATACCCTTTGATCCAGCAATACCACTACTAGGTCTATATCTCAAAGAGATCATAAAAATGGGAAAAGGACCCAAATGTACAAAAATATTTATAACAGCTCTTTTTTGTAGTGGCAAAGAATTGGAAATTGAGGGGATGCCCATCAATTGGGGAATGGCTGAACAAGTTGTGGTATATGAATGTAATGGAATACTGTTGTTCCATAAGAAATGATGAGCAGGTGGATTTCAGAAAAACATGGAAAGACTTGCATGAACTGATGCTGAGTAAAGTGAGCAGAAGCAGGAGAACACTGTACACAGTAACAGCCACATTGTGTGATGACTACCTTTGATAGACTTATCTCTTCTTAGCAATGCAAGGATCCAAGACAATTCCAAAAGACTCATGATGGAAAATGCTGTCTACGTCCAGAAAAAGAACTATGGAGTCTGAATGGAGATCGAAGGATACTATTTTCTCTCTTTTTTCCCCTTTCTCATGGTTTTTGCCTTTGTGTTCTGATTCTTCTTTCACCACATGACTAAAGTGGAAATATGTTTGATATGATTGTACATGTATAGTCTATATCAGATAGCATGTTGTCTTGGGGAGGGGAGTGAAATTTAGAACTCAAAATCTTATAAAAGTGGATATTGAAAACTAAAAAATAAATAAATAATTTTTAAAAGGATATGAAAATTAAAAAAAAAAACACCATCCATCTATGCTGGGTATCTGGCTCTGCCACTGGTGCCACATTCTCATAGGATCATAGATATAGAGCCAGAAGAGGCTGCTTAGAGATTATCTAGTTCAACCCCCTCACATTTGACAAATGATGAAAATTAGGCTCATAGGGGTTAAGTGACTTGTCCAAGGTAACCCAAGTATAGTAGCAGAGTCAGAATTCAAATTCAGGTCAGAGGATCATAGATATAGATCTGGAAGGGGCCTCAGAGGCTATGTTGGATCCAACCTCCCATTTTATAGGTGGGAAAACTGAGACACCCAGAAAGGTTAAGTGACTTTCCAACAGTCAGCAGAGGGATTTGAACCCAGATCCTCTGGCTCCAGAACCAGCATTCTTTCTTTTGAACTATAGAGTTTGCTCATTCTGCTGGTAATCATTTTGAAGCATTGAGAGCCATGATCTTAAATTGAAATGACCAGATTTCAGAAAGGACCATTGAGACCTAGTCTGGAAGAAGATCATATGTTTTCCGTAGGAGTCCTCTGCACCTCTCAAACTCGGACAAACAACAGATAATTCAACAAACATTCATTACATAACTATTCAGCAAACCCTTGTCAGATAAATGAGAAAGTAAATAAGATCTACTTAGCCACAAGTGTACAGGCATCCTCCCTCTCCTTCCCCATAACTGTCTCAGATAGGCTATCTTCTCTCCTACTCCTGTCTGTCCTCCTAATCCCAAGCCTTAACATGACTATACGTCACCATCGTTATTTTTTTTTCGTCCAGCTCTATGATTCCATTGATGTGGGGAAACTCCCTTCACCTACGCTGATGAGCAACTCATCTGTGACTGTCAAGCCTGAACATGATTCTCATGGGGAAGACAAGAGTACTCATTGAAGGAGATGAGACAGTAGATTTGGACTCCATTTCTCCTAACCTTCTTCCTCCTTTTGTGGATATAAAGCAGCCCTAGCTCAGAGGAGTATCCCAGGTGTTTCCCAGAAAGTGCTTCTGTGAAATCTCAAGGTGTCTCTTTAGGACTACCAGAGGGCTCCAGGTCTTAGAAAAGAGGCCGGGTGGAAGTATTTAGCAAGGAGAAGAGTTAGGAGTACTTGTTATGGGTTCTGACACCTCAGTAGATATTTCCAGTGACCAGATATTCTGGGAAAAATCCAGGGCAATCCATCAGCCTTAAAAATCTCACTATAATGCCCAAAGGGCTATAAAACCCTTTGACTCAGAAATACCACTACTAGGTTTGTATCCTAAAGAGGTTAAAAAAAAATAATCTACATATACAAAAATATTTATAGCAGCTCTTTTTGTGGTGGCAAACAATGGAAATTGAAGAGATATTCATCAATTGGGGAATGGCTAAACAAGTTGTAGTATATGACTGTGATGGAATACTATTGTGCTATTAGAAATGAAGAGCAGGATGTTTTCAGGAAAACCTGGGAAGACTTACATGAACTGATACAAAATGAAATTAGCAGAATCAGAGAACATTGTATATAGTAACAGCAATATTGTATGATGATCAACTGTGAAAGACTTAGCCATTCTCAACAATACAAGGATCTAAGACAGTTCCCAAGGACCTATGATGAAGTATGCTATCCACCTCCAGAGAAAGAACTGATAGAGTCGGAATGAATATTGAAGTATACTCTTTTTTACTTTCTTGTGTGCATTTTTTTTTTGCAGTCTGTGTTTTCTTTCATACCATAACTAATCTGGAAATATGTTCTATATGATTTCACATGCTTAACTTATATTGCTTGCCTTCTCAATGAGGGAGAAGTAGAGGGAGGGAAGAGAATTTGGAAATCAAAATTTTAAAAAAATATTAACAATTATTTTTTCATGTAATGGAAAAAGAATAAAATATTTAAACTAAAAAACAAACAAACCAAAAACCGGACCTCACTATAGCAGAACATTTTAGTCTAGATACTTTACCTAAGGCAGTGGGCCAGAGCAAAAAGTGGAGGCTGCTAGGGTGCTAAGGAGAGACAGTGGCTGTAGCCCGCAGGGATCTTCTCTTTCCCATATGCTGTGACAGAAAGAGTCTCTCAAGTGTAGGTCTCCTTCGTTTCTTTGAATGCTTTCTTGGGAGGAAGTTTCTTTTTCTAGATTGAAAAACAAAAGTCAAGGAGTTTTATTTCCAGGTTAGATCATTCAACCAAACAGATAAACCATGTGCCTATCTCTCAGTGGCTTGCAGGATGCTCTCCTCTTTTTTCCTTTTTAAAAAATGATTTAGTCTATAAAAATCAACTTAATATAATTAATTAAATTTACTTTGAAATATTTGCTATTTTCTGTAGAGATTCTTGCCTGTAGTTATAAAGAGCCCTCAGGTTTGTGACTCTTTTGTAGTGTGGTCTTCCAAGGGTAAGGAGAGTTTATATGACCCAAGGGAATATTAGGATCATAGGACCTTGAGCTGAAAGAGGCTTGAAAAATCTAATCCAACCCCCTTATTCCTATTACAGATGGAGCTGTATGTGTGGGGCACTGAATAAGAAGGAAAAATAAAGAGAGCAATTAGAAAGAAGGAGGGCCAATGACATCTCAAGATGGTTTGATTGACATCAGCCAATCATGACTGAGAGTTATGATCCCAGTGATCCCAGCCTGTCTGATGACCCTCTAAAAGTCACATGAACTTCTCAAAATGCCATGATCAAGTTTAAGACATTCTTGTTATACTATACCCTGATGTTAAATGCAGCAATCACCATGATTTTTTTTTATCCAAACCTGTGAGTGATTCCATTCCTATGAAGAAATCTCAGTGTGGAAACTCCTTCCACCAATGCAGATTGGCAGTTCATGTGACTTAGAGAGTTGCCTGAGGCACTGAGAATTTAAATGACTTGCTCGTGGTCATACAGCTAGTATATCAGAGGCAGGACCTGAACCCAGGTCTTCCTGATTCCTGGGTTATCACTGCCCATGATGTGCTGCCTCTATGTGTGAAGGCCTCTGTGAAGACAGAAGAAACATTTAGGCAGTCTCAGCTCTACAAAGCTTGTAACTGGATGTTAGAGAAACACTTCCAGACCTCTTCCCTGTATTTATCTCTAAATATTTAAATTTGCCGTAATATGACATTCTCAATATATCCAGAGCAGAATTTAGAAAAGGGCTTTCATGCTTGCTGATGTAGAGAGGATGTTTGTATATAGTTCAACCAACATATATTAAAAACTATTCTATGAGCTAGAGGAATGCAAAGATGAATAAGGCTAAGGCCTTTATAATCTAGCAATAGGAGAGAGAACATATCTATACAAATAGCCATAATACAAAGTGCTACTAGAGAGGCAAAGGATGAGAGATTACTTCTGGCTGATACAATCTTTTAGGAAGACTTTATGGGAAAGTTGACCCCTATATTTGGTCTTTAAGGACAAGGATGATTTCAATAGGAGGAGATCCTGTGATTTCATTCCAGGCATAGGAATAAAAGTAGGAATGAGCAGAAATAGCAGCGTCTAGAGGAAGTATGGTGAGATAAGGCTGAAAAAGTAGGACGGAATCAGATTGTGGAGTGCTTTAAATATTCTCTAAGAATGTTGATCAAGGCAATCATAATCAGAGGTGTACATTAAGTATATTTCCCTGGCAGTGATGTGTAGGGTAGCTCTCTGTAAGAAACTTATTGCAGTATTCTTAGTAGGGTACAATAAGGACTTGAACTCTGGTAATAGCACTGGCAGTGGGGATGGAAATCGAGACCTTAGTTTCTTCATCTATGAAATGAGGGGATTGTATTAGATGGCCTCTGAGGTTTCTTCTAGCTCTATCTGTGATTCTGTGATCACTGTGAGTGAACCCACAAAGGTAGAGTGGACAGGGCTTGACAACTGATTGGAGATGAAGGGCAAGAAAGAAGGAAGACACAATGTTGACTCCATGGTTTCTAGCCAGTGAAATAGAAACTAAGGAAGTTAGGGAGACAAACAAGTTTCAGGACAAAGATGTTGGAATCTGTTTTAGACATGGACTTGAGATGTTGGTGGGAGATTTAGGAATATATTCCAGCAGACTTTTAGATTTCAGGCCTGAAGCTCAGAGATGATGTCTGCACTGCACATAGAGAATTGGGAGTCAGAGCTGAGTTGAAGGAATGAGGACGAGCTCATTGAGGGAAAGAATGTATGTTAAGAAGTTGAGTGTCTCACTCAGAGACTTGGGGATGCCTACATTGAAGAGGTGAGAGGAAGGGGAGCCAAAGAGGGAGAAGTCAAAAAGGTGGGAAGGGAGGTTGAAAGCAGTGTCACAAGTCTAGGAAGGAACTGGTCAAATGGTGTCACATGTTGTGGAGAAGTTAGAGAAGAAGAATGGAAACCAGGCAAAGGCCGTTGGATTTGGTGACTAAGAAGCCACTCAACCTTAGAAAGTCATGTGAGAGCAATGGAGGGTGGAAGCCAGACTACAAAAGGCTGAGGATTAAACAGAAGCAGTTAAATATATATACAGAGGTCTGTATACTTTTGGAGCAGAGGTAACCTTAGCCTCTGGAAGGTTATGCCAGTAGAACACAAAGCCCTGGCAGGTCTTATCAAGTTGAAAAGCTTTGACTAGGGGCCAGAAAACAGGTCGTGTATATTTGTCTTATGAGAACCTACCTAAGTTTTTTTTTTTAATTCTGAACTTAAACAGCAAAAAAAGTAAAAAGAAGGGAAAAAAAATTCCATACACACAGTAGAACACAAAAAGAGGATTGTCTATGAAACTTTGACATTTCATACAACTTTTTAAAAAAGGATTCTGCAGTTTGCTTTCAAAACTGTACTGTTGGCTTGTCCTCGCTTCCTTCCTAACATCCTTCTGTTCTCTTCTGGCATTCAGGCTAGCTAAATTTGGAGATACTAGGTTGCCCTTGGAGAGATGGATTTGGGGTGGGGGTGGGAGGAGTCACACCATGTCTCCAAGACAATATACCAGTTCATAATGGGATTGTGATCTTACACTACAACTATAACTAGTATAGGGTAGTCCAGCATTATACAGATAAGTGTCTCCTGCCCCCTCCCCAGGCTTCTACCTCCTCTCTCCTTGACAAGCTTCTAACACCCCCCAGGACCACACAAAGGCCAGGCCCCGCTGAAGTACTGAGGTAAGCCATCAGATTTGCCTTATAGGGAGCCAAGCATTTGAGTTGCAGCTTTGGGTCAGTTTTGAGACTGTAAAAGTTGATTGCGGTAAGCTGTGATTTCTCTTCTTCTCTCCCTCCATCCCTATCTCGCCACCCTGTTTTGGAGACTAGGTGCATTTGGTTGCACCCAGCTACAAAAGGCCTTTGGGTGTATCTGTCTTGGTATAAGGAGCCAGACAGACAAGGAAAAAGATTGAAGACTGACTTTACCAGAAATGGTCATGGCTTTTGCTCAGCAACTTTAGATGTCAATGAGGTTATAGTTTACTTTTGATTTCACTTGAATAAATTTCTTAATCTAGATGAGTAAATTCTTTGAGATGGAAAGAAATCATAAATGTGGTCTCCAACTGGGTAGGTACTAGAGTCATTGTGATGTTATCATTTTAAAAGGAAAAGGATCTCCACATATAAAATATATTATAGTAGCTCTTTTTGAAGTAGCAAAGAACTAGAAACCAAGTGGTACCTGTCTATTGAGAAATGGCTAAACAAGTGATGGCATATGAATGTAATGTAATATAATCACGCTGTAAGAAATGATGACATGGACAACTTCAGAGAAACCTCAGAAGATCTGTATGAACTGATGCAGAGTAACGCGAGCAGAACCAGGATAATGATTGATATAATAACATTATGAAGAAAAACAACTTTGAAAGATTTGAGAACTGTGATCAATGCAATGTCCAACCACATTATTCCAGAGCACTGATTATGAAGCATGCTACCCAGAGATGTGCTAGATTCAAAATGCAAAATAAAACACTCAGAGGGAGAAAGACATACATTTGTGAATATAGTTAATGTGGGGATTTGTTTTGCTGAAGTATGCATATTTGGCATGATAAGCTTGGTTTTTCTTTTCTTCTCACCTCCCCCACATGAGAGGATAGGGCTGGGGAAGAAGAAGGAGGAGGAGAAGGAAGAAGAAGAAGAGGAGGAGGAGGAAAAGGAAGTTATTGAGGCATTTTTTTTACATGAAGAGAAGAAAATGGAAGGAAGACAAAAAAAAGAACAGATAAGCAGGACATCTTTGAAAGCTACAGGTTGAATTAAAAAAATAGTAAGCTGTACATAATAGAGATCTGCAGGTTCATGTATAATTATCTTATGTTCTATATGTATATGAAATATTCATTTTATTTAGTGTTTAAGTTCAGAATAAAAATTAAATGTATACTATACCCCAAAGAGATTTTTTTAAAAGAGAAAAAGGATTAATATATTTTTAAAGTACTTACAGCAGTTCTTTTTGTAATAGCAAAGAATTGTAAACTAAGGATATGCTCATTAATTGGGGAGTGTTGAACAACTTATGGTATATGAATATGATGGAATATTCTTGTGCTCTAAGAAATGATGAAGGGAATGGTTTCAGTAAATCTTGGGAAGACTTATATGAACTGACACAAAGTGAAGTAAGCAGAACCAAGAGAACAATTTATACAATAACAATAATATTGTAAAAATAATCATATTTGAAAGACTTTGGAACTCAGTGATTGATCATAATTCTAAAGAACTCATGATGAAACATGCTACCTACCTCCAGGGAGAAACGTGATGAACTTAGAGTCTTTTCTGTCTTTTCTTTCTTTTTATAGATATGACTAATACAGGAATTTGTTTTGCATAGCAATACATATTTGTAATGAGCTTTGTTTTTCTTGCCTCCTCAATGGGTAGGAGAGGAGTTATTTTAAAAAGTAACTTTTTAAAAAGATCACTTATGAGGGCGCTAATTCACTCCCCTAGATTTTAAATGGTAACTAGTAAAGATATCTAAGAAGCATGAAAAAGGTGCATCTGAGTCCTCTAAGTGTGGTGTAGTTTATTATTCCATCAACACTCCCAGTGGCACCTGGAGGTAAGAAGCTGCTCCTCTAGTGCCACACCCCAGTGGAGAAATGCTGTTCCCTGTTTGATGTTCCTTTGTTTTTCCTCCAAGGTTCAGACGCCCGCACACTTATTTTTTTAAACTATACTATATCACTAGGTGATCACGTCCTCTCCGGTAGGTTAAAGTATCATCTCTATACAGAATTGATTCCCAGGTCCATAAATCTAGACATAGTCTCTATCCTAAACTATAGTCCTGAATTAACAACTCCTTTTTGGACATCTTGTACTGGATGTCCAGTAGAAATCTCAAACTCAACATGTCAAAACAGAACTCATTACTTTTCCTCCCAGTCTCTGCCCCCTCCCCCCTTCTCAACTTATTTTTTTCTTGTTGAAAGCACCAAGGGGCAGCTAGGTGGTGCAGTGGATGGAGCACTGGCCCTGGATTCAGGAGGACCTGAGTTCAAATCTGGCCTCAGACACATAACACTTACTAGCTGTGTGACTCTGGGCAAGTCACTTAACCCCATTGCCTAACCACCACCCCCCAAAATAAGAAAGCACCAGCGTCTTCACAATCATGCAGGTTCATCACTCCATATAGTCAATCTACTGCCAAACCTTGTCTTCTCTCCCTTTGCAACATCTCTCACATGTCCCCTTCTCTGCACTCACAAGCTACCAGCCTTGCATAGACCCTCACCATCTCTTGCTTAGACTATTATAATAGCTTTCTATTTGTTCTCCCTACCTCAAATCTCTTCCCACTATAATGCATCCCCTATTCAGCTGCCAAAGTGATTTTTCCAAAGCATAGGTCTGACTGTGTAACCTCCCAACTCAAATTCCACTGGCTCCTTGTTCAAATCTAAGTTCCTCTGGTTGCCATTTAAAGCTCTTCCCAAGTAGGTCCCTTTCTTCCTTTTCAGTCTTATGACCCTTAACTTCTTTCCATCTATTTGACCATCAGCTACATCAGCCTCCTTTGCTGTTACTGAGTTGAGATGCTCTAATTCCCATCTCTGGGCTTTTGCACTCGTTGGCTGCCTGGAATGCTCTCCCTCCTCACCTCCAACTCTTAATTTCCCTGGCTCCCTTCAAGACTCAGCTTAGATCCTACCTTCCTCAGGAGACCCTTTCTTGTATTCCTGCCTCCTCTCTGAGATTACCTTTCACTTACTTTATACATGTCTTGTATGTACATAGATGTCTGTATGCTGTCTCCCCATTAGAATATGAGTTCCTTGAAGGCAGAAACTATGATTTTTCTTTCTTTCTTTTTTTCTTTCTTTATCTCTCTCTTTCTCTTTCTTTCTATTCCCAATGTTTAACACAGTGTATGGCATATTATAAATACTTAATGTTGTTGACTGTGTCTATGTATGTCATCTGCATACAAGTGTTTCAGCTACACGTAGCAAATATCATTTTGGTGATAAAATCTGTGTGACATGACAGAGCAGAAAGTCTTGTATATAGAGTCAGAAAACTGGAGTTCAAATCCTGGACCTGTCACTTATTTGACGTATGATCTTCGATAATTCACTTAATGTTTCTAGGCCTCAATTTTCTCATCTATAAGATAAGCAAGGGCTGGTCTAGATGACCTTTCTAAAGTTCCTTCAGCTCTGTATTTGTACCCCTGCCCTTTTAGCTTTTGGCCTTTTAGCTCATTGGGGACAGAGAAGGGTGGGTGGATATCACATGCTTATAAAATATTCTATTTATTCTTAGCTTGTCTCCAGTGATTAGATCTAGGTGGAGACAAGAGGTGCTCCAATTGGACCTGAGAGTCTGGAGGCATTCCTGACACAACAGAAGGGCTAGGACTAAGTTGGTGGCAAGTATTAAGTGGACCTCAACCTGAAATACCGTATTTGGGGCTTTCTTAACTAAGGATGGTGCCATAAGTCAAGGAGATCAAAGAATTAAGTCATCTCTTTGGTTTCTAGCTGCTGATTCCAGGGTTTGATTCTTTACTTTTGGTGACTTGTTCAATACAGGGAACACAAAGATTGAGGGGTCAAAGAGGACTCCAAGTCTTTAAGCCTGGAAGACTAAAAGGAGAGTCATTGAGCCCTTGACAAAAAACCTTAAAGTCAGAAAGGGAAGCTAGTCTAAGCACCAAGTTCCTCTTTTGGTAGATTCTTAAAACAGTGTGTGTGTGTGTGTATGTGTGTGTGTATGTGAGAGAGAGAGAGAGAGAGAGAGAGAGAGAGAGAGAGAGAGAGAGAGAGAGAGAGAGAGAGAGAGAAAGAGAGAGAGAGTGAAGGACGGAGGGAGAGGGAGAGAGAGAGAGAGTGAGAGAGAGAGAAAGAGAGATGGTTGTGCCTCGTATTCTGCCTTACCTGAGTTGCTTGTCTGACCATCTCTGATAATCTCCATGATATTGAAGCTACTGGTCCTGATGATCCAGAAAATATCGGCCGGGTCAAGAAAAAAGACAAAAGGAAAAGGAAAGAGCATTGAAATCTTATTTCAAACCTAGCTTCCAATAGTGTTCTTCCAAGTGCAAATGCCTTAAGCACAGATATAAATGGAAATAGCTATATTGTGAGTATGACCTACTTAAAAAGTGACTAGAGAAGTGAGAAAGCCCAGGGAGAGGGACAGAGAAAAGCTAAGTTCTCCTTTTGCTGAGGAGTGGGTACCTCTCCATCTGCTCACATTCCATGGGAGTGGAAAAATTTATTCATCTTATCTGTTGTAAATTGCATATATCCCAAATGTAAAAACAGTCTTGATTGCCATCAAGTTAGTTCCTGCCTCCCCATGGAAAGAAAATAATAACACAGGGCTTCAATGAAATTAATTTTTCAAATACAAATTTTTATTCATGTTTTGTTGATGCTTCTTACATCACAATCATTTCTAGACATACTCTCTTTCCCTCTTACTCATTTCATAAGTCTGTCCTTAGGACAAAGAGAAATTGTGAAGCAAAACTAATCAACACAGCAAATACATTGTATGCAAGGTTCTGCACCCCAACTTCTCACCTTCCCAGGAAAAAGAAGGAAATTCATTTCTTTGTTTTTTCTCTGGAACCAAAATTGTTCACTATATTAATTTTTAAGACTAAATAAATTCAGAAAACTATAAGCTCTTTGCTTTTTTAAAAACTAATTAAAACAGCAAAGATGGGAGACCATGGACAAGGAATAGTACATGTGCCTTCAGACATAGTTGGTTCTATTGGTTGTTTTTGTTAGAATGCTTTCCCCTCCCCTTTCTTTTTAAATTTCTTTTCACAAGTGATGACTAGATTAGAGAGGAGAAGGGGAAAAGTTAGGATTCTAAAATCATTGTGACATAACTACAAAAGATATCAATTTAAAAATTTAAATAATTTTAAAAGATAATAAAAAAGCTCTATTTGTGCAAAAAATATTTATGCCACGCTCTTTTTGTGGTGTCAAAAGAGCTGGAAATTGAGGGGATGCTCATCAATTGGGGAATGGCTGAACAAGTTGTGATATATGATTGTGATGGAATACTATTGTTCTATAAGAAATGACAAGTGGGATGATTTCAGAAAAACCTGGAAAGACTTACACAAACTGATGCAAAGTGAAATCAGCAGAACCAGGGGAACATTGTACATAGTAACAGCAATATTATATAATGATCAACTGTGAATAACAGCTATTCTCAGCAATACAATGATACAAGACATATTTGCATATGTATAACCTATAGATGCTTACCCTCTCAATGAGGGGAGAAGAGGAGGGAGGGAGAGAATTTGGAACTAGAAATTTTAAAAAATGAATGTTAAAAATTGTTTTTACATGTAATTGGGGAAAAATAAATTATTTTTTTAAAAAAGCCTTTATTCTGTGTGACCCTGGGCAAGTCACTTAACCCCAATTGCCTAAAATAAATAAATAAATAAAAAAGCCTTTATTGAGGAAACAGTGATTTGAAAAACAAATTTTAAAAGACTCTTGTATGAAGTTAAACAGCGAGAATAAAAATTTCTAGGGATTTTACTTTTTAACTTAATGAAAGTAATTTGCTTTAAAAGTTAGGTTTTTTTTTTTAAATTTCCTACGATTTTCTCAGACAAACCACACCTGTAAATCTTCCAATAGGCAGACTCAGTTCACTCTTGGATTGATTTTCCCAGTTAGACAGTGGCAAAACAATATCAGGCTACCTTCTTTTGCTGTCTGTCACATTCCTATTGTCTTGACCCAAGGCATAGAGATTTTTGTCCTACTTGAAGGCAAGGATTATTTTTAATTTCTCTGTATCCCCAGCCCTTAGTATATGATAGATACATGATAAATGCTTGTTGTATTCTGGGAGCTGTGCCTTAGGGCCCTTGCCTGACTCCCTTTTAGCTCTCTCATATCCTCTCCTCAGCACTGTTATGAGCAGGACCAAAGGATTTATCACAGTATAAATTCTATACAGGTATAGCAAAAAATAGTCAATAAACATTCATTAAGTGCTTATTCTATGTGCCAGATATTGTGTGCTAAGCTAAACTGCTGATATAGAATTCATCTAAATCTAGCTTGCCCCTCAAAATGGTTCATAAAGACCCCTTAGTTCTAGATACCTTTAATCAGTCACCTGGGCTGATCATTTCAGTCCTGGACTGCCAGGACTGAAATGAGTAGTCTATAGTCTTCTTATTTCCCCTGTTTCTTTCTATTCCTAACTCAAGTTTAGGCTCTCTCTCTGAGAAAGGGGTTTTAAACCATTTTTGTATCATGGACTCCTTTTGCAGTTCTCAGAATCACGTTTTTAAATGCATAAAATAAAATCTATAGGATTACAAAGGAAATTTAATTATATTGAAATACAGTTAGCAAAATATTGAAAAAGAAAAAAAAAGGTTACAATTTAGGTGAACCTGCTCATCTTAAGAAGCCCTGCCTGAGACCTCCGCCGCATACTCTCCCATCTGATTTCCTGAGTGTCTGAGTTGTTGATTCTGTTGACTCTCCAACAGAAGTCTCCACCCCTTCTGATTTTGCATTTCTGTCATCTAGTTACTTGTCTTAATGATCTCATTCCTGTTCTGTTTTCTTTTCTTTTTATTCTATACAATGTTCTCCTGGACACCAGGGATTTCCACACCCTTTTCATTTTGGCAGACCTTGTTATTTTTAAGCGAATACTTTTAATCCATGCTTCCTCCACAACTATCTAGTCTTAACACTGAGTCTTGGGCAATTAGCAAATGCAGCCTGGGGAATTTAAACAGATCATTTAGAAGCTACCATCTTGCTTATGGCTTATCTAAGGAGAACAAGCTGGAGCTTCCCTTACATATGTAAAAATCTACCAGCAGTGCAGGTAAACTGTTCCTTTTATGTTCCTATAGTATAAAGCATTTACTTCTGGGTTTGAAAGAACTCAAAGAGAAAAAAAGAGATACTGACCTGAAGACAAGACCTAGAGAGAGGCCTGTGCATCAATATGGTTCCTATAGGGAGTTCCATGTACCAAGGAGCAAGGAGGCACAGAGCCTCCTTAAGGGAGGAGTGAATCTATGCACCTAAAACACATGCAATCCAACTTTTTGCCTGTACTGTGGCACAGTGATGTAGTCTATGTAAGTCCAGGTGGTGGGGCAGAGAAGTGACCTCTTTAGAGTCCCTGAGATTTTGTTCTCATGAGGAAAGTGGGAGTATCTTCTTGACTATGGGCTCAGGTACAAGCTTTTTCTGTATTTCTGCATTTCTAATATTTGACGTCTATCTAGTTAGCTTGAGTGCTGGGAGATGAGGGCCCTTTTGAGGAAAGCAAAATAAGCCAGATACTGACATCCCCAGGGCATCTGTGAGCAGGAGCACAAGCTGGTGATTTTTTGGGTGACCTTCCAAAATTATACCCATGTCCATTGGGTTAAGGACTGAAGCCCAGTTTACACTAAAAAATGTTCCAGGGGAAAGAATAGATGAGAAGATTTACATACCATTCAAAGCAGAGGCTGCAAATCTGTCTTCCCCTCCCCTCCCAGCCTCTCTTGTCAGAAAGGTGAGGCCCTAGGTCAGTAATTAGGTCTCCAGACTTTTTTTTTTTCAAAAATTTGCCTCTGGAGACCTTCCCTTCCTTGGGGAAAGGACACTATTCCACTACATTGATTTTAGACTCTTGAGTTTTAAGCTGAGTTGTCCCTAAGAAGGTGATAGTGGAGAGCAAGGACGTGTGAATTGCCCAAGTTTATAGAGTGAGGACAGAGACTAGTTAGGATTTCTCATCAGTTGACTCTTCAGTCCTATGCCACATTCCCTTATCTCCCTACTTGTCTGCCTTAATGGAGGAAAAGAATGGGAGGAGGTTTGATGCACTTACCTAGCTGCTTTCTTTTGCTGCCTCAAGACTGCTGAACACTTTGAAGAAGCTTCAGAAAATCCCTTGGCCATAAGAAGAGACAGGCTCTCACTCGGTCCAGCAGGTGGTGGGCTGCTAATTTCTAGCTAGAAAGATCATATGGTAAAGTGAGGTTGCTAGGCTCACACTCTCTTCAGTCTGAAAGGGACCCCTTGTGACCTCTCTACCATGTTATGGGGCCCCCAGCCATGAGGAAACATCATTTCCCTAGCTTATTATTTTTTTAAGGCAATTGGGGTTAAGTGACTTACCCAGGGTCAAACATCTAGTAAATATCTGAGTTCAAATTTGAACTCAGGTCCTCCTGACTCCAGGGCTTGTGCTACACCACCTAGTGGCCTCATTCCCTAGCTTATCATTAATGGAGCCCAAAATGTGCTAGTGGTTCATGTGGAATCCAGAGATACTATCTATTTCTCACACCCCAAGCCTGGATTTCTACCTGTTAAATGTATTATTCCCATCCAGTACTTTTTATTGTACTAGAATAATTTCATGTTATTTCTGAGTAATGAAGCTTTAAATTTTCTGTTCACAGGAGTGGAATAATTTCTATTTCTCTGAGGGGAAAAACCAGTCTCATATTTAGTTGCTTCTCCGTTGTACAAATAGGTTTCTTCAATTGGCTATTGACTCTTAATAGACCTCCTATAGATTCTCACATTTGTAGCCATCAAAACCAAATGAAAGGAAACCAAACAAAACTGGAAAAGGCTGTCTTCAGGCCACAAACTTCGTACCTGAGTAATTCGAAATGTTCTCCCCTACAATGACCTAGAGTATTGCCAGAGTGTTAGACTGAGTGACCTCTGAGGTCCCTTCAGGCTCTATTTCCATGACCCTATGACCCCATTCTTGCTAGTGAAGATTAGGGCCTTAGGGAGTCCATTTACCATTTCTGGGGCATTCCTAGAGGGTTTGCCCCTCTTGGGCACCAGGCAATGAGTCACATGAATTCTCGGGTCTTTAGTGGTAATGGACAGTCCACTCTCCAGAATATATAGCAGCCGGACCCAGAACTGGAAGACAACCTCAGGATGATCCAAGTGGAGTTTTAGGTAGTAAATTTTTTCAGTAACTGTCCGAACCCTCAGGATACGCCGGGACCAGTCAGAAATTTGGAGTTCCACAAACTTTAGTGGGAGAATCCTGGGGACATAAGAAAAGAGGCAAAATGGAAACCCCTCCACAGTAGAACTCATCCTTTTTGATAGAGCCATATCCCTAGCCAGCAGAATCAGTGGTACAATGGGGAATTTCTCCATGAAATCCCATAAAGTGATCCCCCAAAAGAAAACTGTAGGTACCAAAAGGGGGGAAATGGGTAAGGGAAGGGAAGAGAAAGGGCAGAAAGAGAAAAAGAGGAGAAGAAAGGAAAGCAAGAAAGAAAAGGGAAGTGAAAGAGAGGGGAGAAAATATGAGAAGGGAAGAAAAAGGGGTAAAAGCAAAGAGAGAAACTAAAAGATCTGAGGGAGAGATAGATAGACAGACACAGATAGATAGGTAATGGAGAAAGAGAGGAATCAGGAAACAAGAGGATTCTGGGGCATGGGCAGTCAAGCCAGTCAAGGTTGGCTAGGAAGGTTTAGGACCAGGAATTTAGCTAAGCAGGAAAGTCTGCAGGTAACACAGCTCTAGTCAGGCAAAGGGACCAAGTCTAGTTAGAACACACTAGAAGAGAGGAAGAAGCAACAGGCAATTATGTAGATTTAGGTAGACCCACAGGGTCCAGAGTCTAGGAATTAAGGGTCACCAAGGATAACACTGGCCCACAGGGTTGGTGAACTTTGACCCTAGGTCAGAGGCTCTCTACTCTCTACCCTATTTCATGTAGTCTGCTGGGAGCTCCAAGTCCAGAAACTTAATTGTGGCCAGAATGTTACAGGTCTCCTGGAAGAATCCAGCCTTCCAGAAAAGCAAGAACAGTGATGCTAGGCTTACCTCACAAGAACGGAACCAAAGGAGAAAAATAGAAGACAGAGTAACATTAGCCTTTTTCACTCACTGCTATTTCCTCCACTTACCCCTCACCCCTCACCCCAGTATTTTATTTTTTCCAATTATATATAAAGATAGTTTTCAATATTTACTTTTATAAAATTTTGAGTTCCAAATTTTTTTTCCTCCCTCTCTCTCCTCCCCCCTCCCCAAGATGGCATTCAATGTGATACAGGATATATACTCCACATCCCTCTTTTTTTTTCTTTTTTCAAAAATTTATTTATTTTTAGTTTTCAACATTTACTTCTACAAGATTTTGAGTTTCAAATTTTCACCCCATATCACCCCTCCCCCCACCCCAAGATGGCATGCATTCCAAACATCCCTTCCCCTAGTCTGCCCTCCCTTCTATCTCTCTCCTGCTTCTCTTATCCCTTTCCCCGTCTACTTTCCTGTGGGGCAGGATAGATTTCTGTACCCCATTTCCTGTATTTCTTATTTCCCAGTTGCATGTGAAAATGTTTTTTTTTAAGCATGAGTTTTTAAAACTCTGGGTTCCAGATTTTCTCCCTCCCTCCCCACCCACCCTCATTGAAAAGGCAAGCAACTCAGTATAGGTTAGATATGTGCAGTTATGCAAAATACTTCCATAGCAATCATGTTGTGAAAAACTAACTCTATTTCCCTTAATCCTACCCCCCCATTTATTCTGTTCTTTCTTTTGACCCTGTCCCTCCTCAGAAATGTTTCCTTCTGATTACCCCCTTTCCCAATCTGCCCTCCTCTCTATCATCCCCTGTCTCTTGTCCCCTTCTCCCCTATTTTCCTGTAGGGTAAGACAGATTTCCATACCCAATTGAATGTGTATGTTATTCTCTCCTTAAGCCAAATCCTATGAGAATAAGATTCACTCATTCCCTCTCACCTTCCCCTGTTTCCCCTCTACTGTAAGAGCCTTTTCTTTTCTGTTTTTTTGTGAGGTAATTTACCCCGTTCTACCTCTCCCTTTCTCTTCTCCAGTATAATCCTCTCTCACCCTTAATTTTATTCTCCAGATATGACCCCTTCATCTTCAATTCACCCTGTGCCCTCTATCTATCTATCTATCTATCCATATCTATATCTATCTATACATATAATTTTTTTCCTTTCAACTACCCTAATACTGACAAAGGTCTCATGAGTTATAAATGTCATCTTTCCATGCAGGAATGCAAACAGTTCAATGTTAATAACTCTCTTATGATTTCTCTTTCCTGTTTACCTCTTCATGTTCCACTTGAGTCTTGTATTTGAAAGTCAAATTTTCTATTCAGCTCTGGTCTTTTCATCAGAATGCTTGAAAGTCCTCTATTTCACTGAATGACCATTTTTTCCCTGAAGGATTATACTCAGTTTTGCTGGGTAGGTGATTCTTGGTTGTAATCCTATCTCCTTTGCCCTCTGGAATATTATATTCCATGCCCTCTAGTCGCTTAATGCACAAGCTGCTAAATCTTGTGTTATCCTGATTGTGTTTCCACAGTACTTGAATTGTTTCTTTCTGGCTGCTTGTAATATTTTCTCCTTGACCTGGGAACTCTGGAATTTGGCTATAATATTCCTAGGAGTTTTCCTTTGGGGTTCTCTTTCAGGAAGAGATCAGTGGATTCTTTCAATTTCTATTTTGCCTTCTGGTTCTAAAATATCAGGGCAGTTTTCCTGGATAATTTCTTGAAAGATGATGTCTAGGCTCTTTTTTTGATCATGGCTTTCAGATAGTCCAATAATTTTTAAATTCTCTCTCCTGGATCTATTTTCCAGGTCAGTTGTTTTTCCAATGAGATATTTCACATTGTTTTCTAATTTTTCATTCTTTTGGATTTGTTTTACATGTCTTGATTTCTCATAAAGTCACTAGCTTCCAGTTGCTCTATTCTAATTTTTAAGGAAGTATTTTCTTCAGTAAACTTTTGGACTTCCTTTTCCATTTGGCCAATTTTGCTTTTTAGGGCATTCTTCTCTTCATTGGCTTTTTGCACCTCTTTTGCCATTTGGGTTAGGCTATTTTTTTAAGGTGTTATTTTCTTCAGTATTTTTTTGGGGGTCTCCTTTAGCAAGCTGTTGACTTGTTTTTCATGCTTTTCTTGCTCGCTCTCATTTCTCTTCCCAGTTTTTCATCTACTTCTCTTACTTGCTTCTCAAAATCCTTTTTGAGCTCTTCCAAGGTCTGGGTCTGATTCATATTTTTCTTGGAGGCTTGGGATGTAGCAGCTTTGACTTTGTTGTCTTCTTCTGGTTGTATGTTTTGATCTTCTTTGTCCAAAAAATATTCTATGGTCTGACACTTCTTTGCAGGTTTGCTCATGATCCCAGCCAATTACTTGAGTTTAAACTCTTTATTAAGGTAGAGGTCTGCTTCCAATGTGGAGAATGTACTGTCCCAAGCTTTGGGGGTTTGTACAACTGTTTTCAGAGATACTTCTAGGGACCTGTAAATTTTCAGTTCTTTCAAGGTGGCATGATAAGGGGCAAGGTGTTTATTCCTTTCCTGGCCTGGGCTCTGGTCTATGACTGACCACAAGCACTGTTTTCTGTCTTGGAACTGTGAGGAGGATTTCCTTTGCACTGACACTACAAGTTCTACCACGCCAGCTCTCCTTCTTGCCCCAGGACCACCCTTCAGAACTGTGACCCAGATCCAAGCATGGGCAAAGCAAGAGATCCTGCCTCAGCACTGACAAAGAGATACCTACAATTCCCTTCTGGTCAGCCACTCAATTCCCCCTCAGTCTGTGGGCCAGAAACTCAGGAGGCAGCCGTGCTCGGGAACTGAGGCTGAGACTTAGCTTCTCTCTCACCACAGAAACAGACTTTTGCCACTGACCTTCTAAGTTGTCTTTGGTGTTCATGGGTTGAGAGGTCTGGAAACCTCCACAGCTGCCTGTGATTCAGTCCTGTGAGGCCTGCTCCTGGTTCACTGTGGCCTGCGCCCTCATGCCAAACTGTGCTCCTCTACATGCCTGGTGCAATACACCTTTCTGATCAACCATCCAGGTTGTGTTGGGCTGGAAATATGTTTCACTCTGTCTTTTTGTGGGTTCTGCTGCTTTAGAGTCCTTTTTTATAGGTATTTGGAGGGGTTTTGGGGAGAGCTCAAGCAAGTCACTGCTTTCACTCTGCCATCTTGGCTCTGCCCCCTCCACATCCCTCTTACCAAAGAAAGTAGTTGGACTCCAGCATAGGTTACTTCTCCCTCTTTTCAACCCCAAAATGGCCCTCTCCACCGGTGAGGGGAAACCTGTCAGAGATGCAGAGGAATGGGCTAAAGAGTAGAATTGCCTTTATGGGTAAAGAGCCTAATAATGAGGTCCATTCAATCCATACTTATCACTCATTGAGGATTCTGCTAGCTGATATTGCCAAATCCCAAGACACTCTCCTTCCTTCCTCAATAAGGTCAGTGCCTGGCTTATAGTGTTCCCGACTCCTGCCCTCATGTTAGGAGGCTTCAACATACATATTGATACTCCCTCAAGCACCCTAATTTCCTACTTCTTCCTGTTTTCCTAGTTTCCTTCAAGTCTCTACTAAAGTCCTACTTTCTGTCAAAAGCCTTTCCTGGTCTCACTTAATGATTATACCTCCTTTCTGAAATTACTCCAATTTAACCCGTATATAACCTGTTTGTTCATAGCTTTTTGCGTATCATCTTCTCCATTAGACTGTGATTTTCTTGAGAGCTGGTACTGTCTTTGGCCTTTTAGAGTCCTGACACCTAACATGATGCACCATTTTATTTTTTTCAAGGTATCCAAATTTTAGGACTGGAAAGGGATACTAGAATTTGTATAGGCTAGTGCCCTCATCTTACCAATGAGTATGCAAACCCAGAGGCACTTACTCAAGGTCACATAACTTTCCATTACATCTCATAACAAGGAAGGAAAAATTTCCTATAATTGGAGTCAGTCTCTAGTTCATATATTATCTTCTCTCTCCCTTCTGATGGTCTGTCTTCAAACCCCTAGCCCTCTTCCTCATTCACCAGGTCTTTTGTTTCTCCTTACCTGTAAAATGAGGGAGTTAGATTATATGATTTCTAAATTGTCTTGAAGTTTTAACATCATAAGTCTAAGTTACTGGACCAGAAACCGATACAGCTTCTAGAGACCTCTATGTTTTTTCTTTATCTCTGATTCGGGCATAGTGGAAAAAGCACTGGGCCTGGAACTAAAAGATCTAGATTCAAATTCTAGCTTGGCCATTTCCTGGCCATGCAACCTTGGGGAAATCACATAAACTCCCAGAGCCTCAGTTTCTCCAAGCACAAAATGAAAGATGATCTTTAACACCCTTCCCAGATCTGACATTCTGTGACTGGGTAATTCAATGTTAAAGCGTGCTTCCTTTCAGGCATACAGTGGTATCCCCTTTTGTTCTTTAGCCCTCATTAATTTCTTTACCTTTTGAGGGTGATAGTTGGTGCTTCTACTGGTCTGATCCACTTTGGAGATTGCCCTTTGGGCCATTTGACTTTGGCCATCAGGAAAATGTTGGGAAGAGGAAGGCATGCCACTGATGAGGTCACACCAAGAGCCACAGTTGTAGATGCATCACAGATGTTTCTCCATTTCTTTGTGACCTGAAAAGCAGCCCCAAGGGCATGGATCTAAGCATGTAACAAGAACGGGTAGAAAGTACTTTCAACCATGTTGGTTGAATCACTTAATTGAAAGTCAATTTTCAGCTATCTGCCTTGTAGATAGTCTGTATTGTGGTTAACTCCCCATGAAAATTTCAGCCCTAAAATGTTTCCTCAACAATCTAACATACTTCTGAGTCTCTTAAAATAATTGTTTAATTTGTCCATTTAGACAAAGAATTCTTAACCTTTTTGTGTGTCATGGATCATTTAATAGTCTGGTAAAGCCTAAGGATCCCTTCTCTGAATTATATTTTTAAGTACTTAAAATGAAATACAGAGGATTACACAAAGGAAACCAAACACCAGTGAAAATAAAGATGTAATTTTTTTCCCTATCCAAACCAACAAAAACTATTTACGGATCACATGGGGTACTGTAGACCCCAGGCTGAGACTCTTGGACCCCTGGTTTACACTATTCAAATCTAGGTACTTGGTCCTTTTATCTGAATGACTCATCATTTTAATGAAATTTCATATTCAATTTGGAATATTATAAAATTAAATGCTGTGATTTTGGTAATGACTTTAGTTTGGTTTTATTATCATACTAGTCATACTTTTGCACTAATGGCCTTGGGTTGGACATTGAGATCCAGTTTAATCAGTCCCTAGTGTACAATGACCACTGACCTCTACCTGAAAGTTCTTACTTGGTGCCTTATATAGCAGAAGTCTTACAAGTGAGACCATTACCCTACATACACAAACAAGGGGACTTTAGGACCTAACCCCTTGAGTTTTTTCTGGGTCCTCAGTCCCCTTTTTTCCCCAGGGATTTCAAGGCTCATATAAGTGTTTTATGCAAGTCCTGGGTATAAAATTTGGGAGAGGGGAAAAGAATTTGCTTAAATGGCTGGCTAGGGGTACCTGGATGAAGTTGCTTTCAAAGACAGCTGAGTTGGGAAACAAGTTAAACTCTGGAGAATGAAGCAATTGGCAAAGTAGCCCCTCTTCTACCCCAAGTCCCACTCCAGGGTCTGGTTCTTCAACTGCAGGTGGAAGGCCCCTGATGCCCATTGTTGCACTGGGGGAATGGTAGGCTTGATTGTGTCTTGGGACAACCAGTGTCTTCTTTGACTTCCACTGGGGTCTTCCACTTAGAGGAGTTGATGGTAACATGTCTCTCTCTATACAGTCAAGGGTCCAGTTGTAAGTTCCTGATCTGACCTCCCTCTTCTACTTGCCCAGGGTTTGCTCATCAAGGCCCAAGAAAGTCTGTCAGCTCACAATGGATGACATCACTGAGATAGTAAGTGTAGTGTATGGGGAAAGAGTATTGATGGATTTGGAGTCAAAAGACCTGGGTTCAAGTCCAGATCTGTGGATCTGTCTGGGCTGTGTGACCGTGGGCAATTCACTTAACTTCTCTGAACCTCAGTTTCTTCACCTGTAAAATGAGACTTAGAATATTCACATTAACAACCTCAAAGAGTAACAAATATAATATTTTGTAAACATTAAAATCCCATGTAAACATGAGCTAATATGATAACTAAAAACCTTGATGCTTTAATAGGAGAGATAAATAAAGAAGGAGGTTCTTTCTTTCTTCCCTATATAATATTTTCTAATCTATCTGAATTCTAAATATCCTAGACTTTCTATGGATGTGGGCAGAATTATCCTCCCTCCAGAGGATTCTGTGGACAGTATAGTGAGTCACTGTGAAGCACTGCAAGACAAAACCCACCATGTCACTGAGGCAGGGACAGATCACTAGACTTGAGTAGTGAGTGCAGAATTTATTGGTCACCCCTACCCTGACTACAGCTGGGAAAAGTGGCCCTCAATATGCCCTCCAGCCCACAAAAGCAATATCATCTTAGCTAGGATCCTCCAAAATAAAAACAGAAACAAAGATTATAATTCATCTCCAGCCTTTCCCTTCCTTATGATATATATGCACACTGGCATAATTTCATCCCTCAGATCTCCGTGCCTGAAAACTCCATACATGTTGATGTTTGGACAAAAACCTCAGCTGTCCATTGACCTATACGTTGGCATATCAGAAGGAAGGTAAGATTTTGAGATCCATGAGCAGCACGTCACCTAAACTAGGAACCCAACAGAGAGAGAGGGCTACCACTGGGCCACGGTCTCAGCCCAGAAGAGCACAGAATGGGACTGGTCGCAGCATGATGTGTGGTTCACTATCAGGAACTCCAGCCAGGGAATGAAGTCCAACTAGGAAAGCCTGGTGTCACTAGAAAACACAGGGTAGCAAACAAGCAGAGAGGTCATGCCATGCCAAGGTGCTGATAGACTATATCGGAGAAAAGCTGCAGTTTGCCTTTCTGTAAGCAAGACCATATAAAAACCATGCATTGCCACAACGCATTGCCTGTAGGAGAGCTAGTAGGGCCCCTGTGGCAAGCAGTAGGGTATGTCCGCATGTCCCACAAAGGTCCCATTCTTCTGCTTCGGAGGAGAACTCATATAGAGATAATCCAGGTCAGGATTCTGATGAACCAAGACAAGAACCACAGAAAGGTTTGGGTGTTTTTCTTAAGTTACATTAGGAGAAAAGCATCACAAAAGAAGAGATAGGATCTTTCCTTAGGGCGAATAGGATGGTGATACCAGCAAATAGAAAGCACAGCTGCTCACTTCTCATTTTGTTTCTGTTTTCTCTGCAAAGAAGAATGATCTTTACACTGGAAATAACAGAAAAAATGACTGACTGAGGTACCTAACTAGATAGTAAAAGTGCACCTAATTGCCTTTGATGAATTTAAGTCACTTGGGCCAGAGGAACTACATCCTTGGGTCCTGAAAGAACTGGCAAGTGTGATTATTGTCAATGTCATCAGTGGAATTGGAAAGATCACAGAAAACAGGAAAGGGTCCACAAAATTGGAGAAGGGTTAATTTTGCAAAAAGGAAAGAGAATCCAGAAACTCTAAGGCAGTGAATTTAATTGAGATTCTTAGGAAAATTCAAGAAAAGATCATCTGCTGCTCTGCTCTGTTTGAATTCTAAGGGAGACGATACCCTCCCGAAATAAGCTGATCACCTGAAATCTCATCATCAAGATGTTAAATGCAGCTTTGGATACTCAATGCCTTCCCAAAGCCTTCAGCCTCCTCTCCTCTCCCCTTTATAGAGGGCTTGGCCTGGACTCTCCAGCTAACTACATTTCCGTCTACAAATTTGCTCGGTTTGAACTCCAAGGAACATGGTGCCCCCATCCCAAGTACCCCCTGGTGGTCCACCTTTCCCTCCTTTCTCCAGTTTCCTTTTATGTGTTATCTTCCTCCATTAGATTATGAACTCCTGAGGGCAAGCACTGCCTTTCTTTTCCTTATTTGTATCCCTAGGCCTTAACACAGTCTCTGGCACATAGTGGGCTCTTAAATGTTTATTGAATTGAATTGATTGATAAACAGCTAGAAAGGGAAACAGGGATTGCAAAGAGCCAGTGTGGCAAGCTGGTCATGATAGACCAAACTCATTTCCATTTTTTTGGACAAGATTATTAAAGTAGTAGATGAGGGGAATACTGTGGCTATAGTTTACCTAGATTTTAGCAAAGCATCTCATACTACTCTTGTGGAGAAGATGGAGAGGTATGGATTAGATAATAATATGATCCAATAGATTCAGAAGTGATTGAATGGCTGGACTCAAAGATTGATTGCTGGCACTTCGATGTCAACATGGCAGGAGGTCCCTTCGGGAGTACATTGGGGACTCTGTGTTTGGCCTTTTATTATTCAGTAGTGTTATCAATGGTTTGGTAAAGACATAAATGGTATGGATGCTCATCACATTTGAAAATGATGCAAATCTGAGAGAGATAGTGTCAGGGTGTGTGTATCAGAGTCCGGTTCCAAAAAGATTTTGAAAGGCTAGAGTGCTAGGCTGAATCTAATAAGAGAAAATGAAGCAGGGATAAATGTAAAATCTTGTGCTTAGGTACAAAAAATCAGCTTTGTAAATAGTTATCTCTTCCATGTAGTGGGGGTTAAGGATGCAGTGCCCTTGTGAGCTGGAAAATTCATGTAAAGTTTTTTGGTCCTCCCTTCGTACCAGAAAAGAAGTCTGAATTACTGTACTATTAAAAGTTAAAACATGTCGATGTTATACAATGTTATACATTTCTGAGTTTCTAAACTTTTTCTGTGTTGTCTGCTGGCCTTCACCAAAACTCCCCCCAAAATTCCCATTAAGTTCTTATGCCGACCCCATGATACATTGAAACTGTGACGGGGAAAGTTGTGATGTGGAAGGGCTAAGAAGAGGAAAGCATGGAGAAAATAGCAGTTGTTCTGAAAATAATGTGGGGGATTTTAGTGTGAGTTAGCACATGAATCAGCAATGTGATATGGCAGCCAGGAAAGCTAATGTAATTCTTGGGTTACTGTATGAGTGGTCATATCTTCCAGGAGTAGAGAGGTTGTAATCCTACCCTCACCAAACCTCATCTGGAATATTGTGTTCAGTCCTGGGCACCAGAGCTTAAGAAGGACACTGATAAACTGGAGATTGCTCAGAGGAGAGCAGTGAAGATAGTGATAGTTCTTGAGAGTCCATAGTAAATTATCCATTGGAAGAACTGGGGAATTTTTAGCCTAGAGAAGACTCAGGGAGCACATGATAATTGTCTTCAAGTTTCTGAAGGGCTGTCATATTGAAGATAGATCATATTTGTCCTATTTGGTCCTGGAAAGCAGAACCAACAGTCATGAGTGAAAATTGCAAAGAAGCAAATTTAGAGTTGATGTCAGGAAAAATTTCCTAACAATTAGAGATGTCCCAAAGTGGAACAGGTTGTTTCAGGGTGGAGGGTTCCCCTTTCCTTGGAGTCTTTAAGCAGAGGCTGAACAATTGCTTCTTGGGCGTGGTATAACGGAGATTTCTTTCACGTACAGTTTGGACAAGATGCCCACTGAGGTCCTTCCTGGCTCTTCAGTTCTGTGAAGAAGAAACTGGGCTTAAGTATTTTTACCATTTGAAAATGTGGCAGGCTATCAGAGTGGTCTCAATCTGTAGGAGACCCCAGCCTGAGCAAGAGAGATATTAAATTCATCCTCTTCACTAACAGAGACCTCAAGAGGACAAACTTCCCTTTGGCACTTAATCCCTTTGAGATGGTGAGCAGCTCCAATCATCTTCAGTCATCCAGACAAAGAATTTTGGTTTCAGATTTATCTGTACCAATCCTGGCATCATCTCTTCTTCTAGAGTGAATGTCCAGGTACTTGCTTCTCAGAACAACAAGGTAGATAACTACCCTATTCCAGTGAGGAAGGAGGAAAAAACCACATTTATTGTTTTGTTGAGGCTCGGGGTCACCCAGGTAGGAAGTGTCTGAAGTCAAATTTGAACTCGGGCCTTCCTGACTTGAGGGTCAGTGCTTGATCCACTATGCCACCTTGCATCAGCCAGAGGCATGTTTCCCAATATAGTCACAATGGTTTTCAAGCCTAAGGTTTGCCTTCCCCCTTGTCCCAGGGAGCTCTTAAAAACAGACAAGCTAAACAGGGTTTCTAAAACTTCTCACACACTTCTGCTTGTCCTATGCACTATTCTAGAGAGTCGTTTCTGGGAAAACTCAAGTAGATTTCAATAAAAAATCCAGCCCAAGGTGAAGCTCCAGCGAATCCCACTTCTTGACCACGTCTCTCACAAATGTGTCCTCCCATGACTTTGCTTTAAAGTCTGTATTCCTCAGCAAAGACTCCACCAGCTCCATATTGGCCACCCAGCTCTAGGGGCTGGCTGATTGGCAAGCCCCTGGTGACTCTATTAACAATTTATTAAGTATTTATAAGTGTTATTATTAATAGTAATATATAGCTAGCACTTAGACAGCACTTTAAGGTTTGCAAAGTGCTTTACATATCTTATCTCATCTGAGCCTCAAAACAGCTAGAGGAGGTAGGTACTATGTTATTATTCTCATTTTATAGACGAGGAAACGGAGGCATACAAAGGTTAAGTGACTTGCCCAGGGTCACACAGCTTGTGTGTGTCTGAGGCAGGATTCAAACTCAGATCTTCTTGACCCCAAGTACTCTATACACGGTACCACCTAACTACTCCATATTATCTGTAAGACATTGTGTGAGCTACCGAGAGGTCAGGAACTCATAACCTTTTGGGTTGTGGGCCCCTTTGGCATTCTGGTGAAACCTACGGACCCTTTTTCAGAATCATATTTTAAACACATAAAATAAAATTAATAAGATTACAAAGAAAACCAATTATATTGAAATAGTTATCAAAATATTTCTTTTAAAAAGT